AACTCGTGTTTATTTCTTTCATAGTTTAGACGTAATTAAACTCCCTGTTAGCAAATAATCATTGTTAACTTAACGACGGACTGTTTAAGATTAACAATGTACATATCATAATATATTTTTATCTGTGATTTTAATTCTTTCTTTTATTTTGATATAATTTCTCCAATATTTTCTAATTTATTATTTATATACAAGCGAAATAACTTTATTATTTTCATAAATTAATTATTTAACAATTAATCATTTCAACAAAGTATTATTTTATTTATGTTCAAAATTTTATTTAGTATTTTGTAATTTATCGCCAATGCGATTTATAATAATTTTATTACCAGTATGATATACAAAGTTGACAAATAGGATTTTGTTTATCAAAAAAAACTAAGTTCCTGAAATACTTAGTAAAAATGAAGAGCTAATAGGTGTGATATTATGTAACAGATATTTCTAACCACCTGATCCTTAACATAAATTAAGGCTTCTAATATATTACACTAGCAATATATTATAAAATCTTTTTATTTATTAAAAATTATTTTTTTTATTTTGAAGGAAAATCGAATATTATTTCTTGATTACAATCAAAGTGTAGTGTTTATATAATAATTTTACATAGTATACATGATGAATAGTAACTACCTGCGATGAATAATCTAATTAATTGCTATATAACAATTAAATTTATAATAAATATATGATGAATAATAACTACATATAATAAATAATCTAATTATTACTATATAATATTGAATATTCACTTAATATTCACTTTAATTCTGATAATATTACAATTTACTACTTGTTTTACTATGAAGTTTTACTTTGTTTTCCTACTGCTATTATTGTTTGTGTTATATTATAAATTCCTTTTGTAATTATGATATTATGTATTACTTTTATATTATACAAGCTTTTATGTGTTTTATTTTATTATTACTAATTATTATACTTTTATGTAATCTTTCTGCATATTTGTGTTACTTCTACAATTATTATTTTCAAATATTTTTTGTCTTTCTATAAGATCCTCTGTTCAGTTCATCAATCATCTGTTTTTTTTTAACTTTTTGTTCAATCCTTCTTCTTGCGATAACTAACTTATCTGAGTTATTTTCTTCTAAAGTTTATTTATTTTATATAATCTTCTTTCTTTAATAAAATAAATATTTTTTCTTTTATTATTTTATTTTACTATATTTTTGTCATACATATTGCTATGCTATAAATTAAGAAATTGTTGACCTTTACAATGATATTATAATAATAGATCTATAAAAATATCAAATCTATATCATAAAGATATATATTTTATATTGAATTATTATTATAATAATAAGAATTTAATATAGAATTATTATCATTTGTAATAGTAATGATATGAATTCTACATCAAAACTATATTGTTTCAATAATGATTGAATATTGAAATTTTATCATAATGATATGAATTCTATGAATTCTATATCATTAGTTATATCGTAATAATAAAGATGATAAGAATTCTATATTGAAACTATATTATTATGATATATATAAGATATAAAATTTTTATCATAATATAATAAATAATATAGATTGAATATTTCATTACAATACCATATCAATTTTGATTTAATATCATTAAATATTATAATTATATTATAATCATATTGAATCTACATCAAATTGATAATATTGAATTGATATCAAATCATTATCATTAAGTTATAAATATTAATATCAATTCTATGTTGAATTCATATCATTATGATAAGAATTTGATAATTTGTAAAATATATTACAAATTTGAAAATAATATTATTATGCAATTTAATTTGATATCTTTTTAATTTTTATTAATAAATTTATTATAAAGAATCTAATAATGAAATTAATAAAAATAAAAATATTTAATATATTTAATAAATTATATAGTTATTAAATAAAAATCATTTTTAATTCAATTTTGTTTCATTATAATTAATAAAATGTATCTTTTGTACATTATTAATTACGTTAATTGGAAAATAAGTCTTTAATTTTTGTTTAAAGTTGATAAAGAAAACATTTTAATAATAAATTTTCTTTTTCAGTAATAAATATAATGATTATATTATAAAACTTATAGATGATTATAAAAATATAAGGTATTTAATTATTTATATATATATTATATTATTTATAGATTTAATGAGGTTTATAATATTAAAATTTTATTTTATAGTATAAGTTCTTAAACTCAAATTAAAATAGAAAAATACATAACCAATAATATAAAAAAAAGGTTTTAAGTCACCAACTTGATATTGTTAATATTTTTAGTCGAAATGTAATAGAAGACTTAATAAATTAACTGAAATAATAATAACAAGTTTCAAATCTCATTATAATAGTAAAATGTTTCTAGTATTAAGGAGCTAGATCATTTAACAAAAAAATCTTAATACTATTAAGAAGTGAAAAATATATTGCAAATAATTTAAATGCAAGTTATTTTTTATTTAATATATATATATTTTTTTAGTAAATAAATTTTAACATGATTATATTTATTTTAGTTATAAAGAATGTGTTTTATGCGTATTTTTTTTTAATAAATAATAATGGAAAAGTGGGTTTTTTAATTAGTAATAATCATGGATTTTTTTTATATTAAAAAATTTTTTAATTAGTAATAATAGAAAATTTTTACTTTATAATAATTTTTTTTATTCATAATAATCAGTATTTTTTTTTACATTAAAGTTTTCTTTAATTGGAGAGTCTGTTTAATTAGCAGAAAGATTTTTTGTATATTAAAAAACTTTTTATTTTATTTAGTAATAATAAGAGTGTTTTTTTTTATATTAAAAAAATTTTTTAATTAGTAATAATATAGGTAATAATATGATAAAAGAAGAATTTTTTTTTTAAAAAAAAAACCAATAAAAGATATAATTTGTATAATAAAAACGATTATAATAATAAATTTCATGTTATCACGTGATTTTAATTTTATAATGATGATTATCCAATCAAAATTCAAAAGAATTTTAATTATTTTTTTTTTTGATAATTAAATTAATTATTAAGAAAAGTTATTTAAAAGGTAAATAATATATTCTAATTTTTTAATATTATTAATAATAATAATTGGTTTTCATACAAACTTATATAAACCATCAACAATTTAGAAAGAATATAAAGAATATGCTTTTTAGTTTTATTGATGATATTTATTAATTTATTAATTTTATTCATTGTTGTACTTCATAAATGTTAAGAATTATTTGCCATCTTATTTAAATACCAAGTTACTATTTTTTTGCGACCAAAAAAATAATGGAATTTTCCCGAAACGAGAAAACGAAAAGGTTGGTAACCCTATTTCGGAAATATGGCATCTAGATAATAAAATCAACGTAAATAAATTGAAATATGCAAAATTCTTGTTAAATGACAGAGTTGTTCGAGCTTTCCGGGTTACAGCCTGAACGAACTAAAGCTTTTTAAGTGTTATTAAAGACAAGACAAGATGATTTAAATTCTTATTATATCCATTAGTTGTTAGTAAAGTTATGTCGGGTGTTTTATTAAATAATCCTATCTTGAACTATGTTATGGATAGATGAAATGGTAAGATAAACTTGATAAAAAATAATATGATACAGATCCGATAAAAGTAACATGCCATGCATCCATTTGGCGCAGGCTCTAATGATCGTAACCCGTATTCTCGCTCGAATAAATATCTCAAACGCTTTAAGGTATATGATATCCTAATATAAAGTTTATCCGCCCAACAACCAAACCCACCCCAAGTAGTATAATTTATAATATTTATATGTATAATAATGTGTATAGTATATCCCTAATCCACTAAAAAATATGTCATCTGAGAAAAAATACTACGAAACTTACCTTATCGATACAGAACCGATTCTTCGCGTCTAATCTCCTTGGTTATTTGCAAAGAACGTTTCTCGGGTCTCGTTGACCCTTAATTAACCTTAAAAAAATAATGAAAATTTCAAATATTGAATTTTGAGACTAATGCTATAACCTTTTCATTTTTCGAGCCAAGCTCGTAAATACTCCTTTAAATTTTTTAACTGGCCTAACGGGTTCACAGGCCCTTACAAAATTCTCACAATACTTGGCTAATTGAAAAGCACCGCATTTATTTGCCAACTCTAAAATTTCCTCAAAATTATCATAATTCACAAATTTACTAATTAAAATTTCGCAAAGTTGAATTAATCGAAGTACGAAAAATCTTGAAGAAGCGTATAATAAATCAACCAAAACATCAAAATCAAGATGATCATCGAGATTATGGGTATAAATATACAAAAGCATTTTTTCAAGAATAAAGTAAGAAATATCAACAAGGTAAACACATTTTTTTTTGGATTCCAACATATTTGAGTTAAGCAAGGCTTTAAAATAATCCGATTCAGATGCGAGAATTGCTGTATGGACGTAAAACTCATTAACATTAGCTTCGCTTTCACTTTCATTAGAATAGGTTAATTTAATGGTAAAATCACTAGTCATCTTATCATTGAGCATAAAATTCTTATCCAAGGTATCATTATATTGAATAGGATCACAAATTATATTAGGTTCCAGCTTTACTTTGATATCCATACAAAATTTCTCTTCATGACATATTTCATCCTGTTTAAATAATTGAATCATTTCGTTATTTTGAAATCCTACTTTCTCCTTAATATATGCTTTCAAGATGAATCCACATCCATCCTTCACCATTTCTGTTAAATCTAGATTATAATCCAATTTATTTTTTTGCAAAGAAAAAACGATAGGCATGAATTCGGGATTTGGATTTTTCACCGTAGAAAGTAATTGTATAAACCATTGAACTCCCCTTATATTAGTTGAATGGTGAAACTTAATTATGAGCTCTAAAGAGATTATATAAAAATTTCCCGGCCGATAATCAAATTTCCATGTAATATAAGCTGGAAGTGTCTTTCTGTGCATGCCAAGGGTTCTAGATTTAATTAAACTAAAATAAATAATTAATTTATTAATCCAACGAAATAAATGAGTTAAATGAGTGAGAATTTGTAACAACGTACGATCTTCTAGATTGTGAGAATTCAGGAAAATAATAAATGTTTTCGTGTGTAAAAGCTCCACGATTCCATCTTTTCAAATACTTGGCGACGGCGTTACCGTTTTCATAGTAGGCATCTTTATAAGCATTATATGAAATGCTGTGGGTATAAAGATTATTTTCATATTGTACAACGTTAAACGCATATTTATCATTAAACAACCCACATTTAACTTTACTGTTGATACAATTTAACGATCGAATAGGAATTTCTCTTTCCTTTGATCTCACATTTAAATTTAACATTTTTGATAAAACATTAGATCTCTGTGGAGAGAATTCAACGATAATATCCAATTCAAAATTATCCTTGACATTATAATCATCATTTTCAAAGTAATACTTTGACTGAGGAAATAGATTTATATTTCTTTCAAAATTAAGACTTTTACCCGAAACTTTAATTTCGAATTTGATGTAAAAAACTCTCTTATTCCTCACGTATCTTGTTAAGCTGTGCAGCTTATTAGGATGGTCAATACTTTCATCGACAGTTATCCATACGCAATCCTTAAAATTGAAATTGGTCGAAATGGAAATTATCCAATTGCTATCAAAGTTATCATCGACACAATTTAATTTTAAAGACAATGAAGTGATTTCAAAGTTTTCGCAAGAAGTGTAATCAAATTTATAAATTATTGACGGATATGTACGTAAATTATTAGGATATAAGGCAACCATGTCTTTATAATTTGTCCTAACAATAAATAAATAATATTAAAGTTTAATAAATATTTCTTAAAACTCTTTCTTATACGTAAACGGAATTTACCTGTCCTCAGAGAAATCATAAACATAAATTAAATTTTCATGTGAATAGGCACCACGATCCCAAAATTCGATGTACTTAATCCCATTTTCATAATATGTGTCACTTCGCGTATCGTAAGAGATTCTGTTCATGAATACATTTTGTTTTGCAGGATGTGGGATGACATGAAGTTGGTGTTTATCATTAAATAACCCGCATGGTGTATCGATTGATATTACGGATGATGATAAGTTATCATGAAGAACAGCTGACTCGGGATCATTCTTTGAATTTTCTGAATAGATCCTACAATATGGATTATAATAATAAGGCGGAAATCTGTTAGTCATTATTTCAAAGATTATTTAGAAACGAAAAAAATCATTGTAAAAAATGAAAGAAATTTGTATTTATAGTAAATATTCGATTTATGTAATTCCCTTTTATATATTGATGAAAATCATTCAAAAATAAAAATATTACCCCGATTTCATTCAGGTTTCCCATAAATGGAATACATCAATGCATTGATAATTTGATAATGAGAATTGAAATCATTCAGTATCGCCATTTATGTAAATTACGCATTGTTTCCGTGATCGGCATATACCTTGAATGAAACAAATAATCATCATTAATAAGGATTTCGTATCCTTCTACACTTTTGATGAGATCCTTTAAAACTCGTATACTACCTTGAATTCCAAGGCATGCTGGTACAATGATGTAAATATCTTTTATCGAAAATTGCTCATTCCTTTATGGAAATTAATCAATAAAATGCAAGGTTTCCTTGGCATTCGGCTTTCGTAACTTCTTTATTTACAAATTTCATCGCTTTTATTTTTTATATACTTATTACATAAAATAAATAAAATATTATAACATCGAGCGACCGAACTACTTGTTCTAAACAGCGATAGGAATAAAAATATTAATCATTATATTATTCTATAAAGATAATACTTTGTAAATACTTTGTAAAAAAGAAATTATTTTCTTTTTTTTTTGTGTATATATACATTTGGAAAAAATTTTTTTTTATACTTTGACATGTGTAATTGTATAATTGCATTATCCGATATGGCTAAAAGATAGCGTTGCATGACATGGCATGGTAAATATTGAAGCATGTCACACAATGATTCTTTCATTTGAAAATCTTTCCCTATTTCTATCTTGAAAGTATGTTTGTATTATATAATACTTTTGTCACACAAAATCTTTGACGATCATGTACATTTTCTCCATTATTGATGATAAATCTAAAAAGCTTTTCTAATTTCTAAATATATATTGAATTTTAATGATGATAAATTAATAATTGATTAGCAATTATAGAAAATGCATTGCAAATATGTGAAAGAATTTCATTAAATGAGTTAAAAGAATAACCAAATGCATCATAATTATTCTTATTTACTAAAAACTCAGAAAAAAAAAGCCTTATTCAATAAATGTTCATTCCTAAAAAAATATAAGAAATAATTAATAAAATAAAAGTACTCACATCAGAAATAGTGCAAAAAGTATTACTTTATTCAAAAAGAGAAAGAAGCATATTTAAATTTTTCTTCATTATAATTTATCAATAAAATCAATACTATATTAATTTCTATTAATTTTTATTAAAGTAGTTCAGGCTAAGAGAAAATAATACAACAGCTCAGAGCTAAGGTGGTAGTAGTAAAAAAATAATTGTATACGTTGAAATCTACTCACAGAGTTACGGCGCTTTATTTTTAAAATCCATCAAAATCACGCATTAGTCAAATATGATCAATCGTACTGAAAAATTATCTAACATTAATTCATTTTTTTAATAAAAACCTACCCAAGAATCGGAGAATCGAGTAATGATAAATCGGTATTAATCATTTTTTCTGTGTACTGTTAAATTACTTTTTTACTATGTTTATTAACTTGTCGAAGTATCTATATAATTTGCTGTATTACGTCAAGCCATATACAAGAGATAAAAAAATCTAATCGCTTTTACAGAAACAAAATGTAATTGTCACTTATTTGGTTCTAGAGCAAGCTTCTAGAGAAAGTTTCAACAAAGATCTCGACAAAAAATATATCAATGATGATAATGTTGAAATTGACTTTTCCATGTCAAAAGTTCGATTTATTAATCGATTTTCAATTAATCGTTACAAATTACAATGCAATGTCATTTTCATTTTATTGGAGTTAATCAAATTTACAAATTTTGACCAGAATTAAAAAAATCCATGCTAGCACTTTTGAACAAGAACCTGTATGATTAACCAGTTTCGATAAATTTTGCTACGGTATTTCTAAATGGCGAGTGACAAATTAATATCCACTTAATATTCAAATATTTTGTAATAAATTTAAATTTTATAAAACGATAAAAAATCTTTAGCAAAAAATAATGTAGTTTAAAGGCTTATTAATTATGAGGATCTTAAAATAATAAATGAACTACCATTCGAATGTATATATTTTGTATTAAAGTTATTATAAAGGAAAGGATTCCTCATGTTTTTTAAAGAAAGCCTATTTTGTAAATGAAAAGTTGCTTTGCTGCGTAATGGATCACATCACATGACTACTATTTTCGGAATTTAACTTGTAAAATATTTCCGAAACATGAAAAAATTTTAAAAAATTTTATATTTTGATAAAGAAGCTATCTATTCAAATGGGAGAAGGTCAAAGACATGCATGAAAGAATTTTTGCGTATCATCATTAATTTTATTAAAGCTGCTTTGTCATTAAATCGAGAATAAAATTATTGCTTTTAGAAACAAATCTTTCTCCGAATAGATTTTAGAATTATTCTATAAATGAATTATCAATTTATATAAACAAAAAAGAAACCAATTGTTTAAAGTTTTAATCGCCGACGAATTAAAATCTATAAATTTAATGATCAAAAGTTAAGAATAGAATTTATTCTTTGAAATAAGTAGAATTTAAGATGGAGGAAATTGGAATTTTAGATTATATTCTCTAATGATGATTCAAGTTTTCTGCTGGAAAAGTTCTTCATGACATTTCTGATTTATCCTGATACATTTTGGTATAAAATTAGTCCATTTGAAACAATATTCCCAAAATATATCTTTTCGATCTACTCCATCAGATACTTTAATTTTTATCTCAAAGACTTCTGCCTTTGGCGGAGAATGTTGTTTGTTTATTCGTAGTGATTAGGCAAGAAATCGATATCATATCCTGGAGAAAATAAAAATATTTCAATTTAACTGGAAATTGTTTTAATTCAATGATACAAAGTAAGTTGAAATTGTAAATAATATTTTAAACAACTTCTTTAAATACCTACGAAATATAAAGATTAAATTATGGTATGGATAATATACAGTTTTCCCTGATAAATGACTTATCATTTTAGGTACGAGACATAGGCGTTCTCAAGCGTTGGGTTTATAAATGATCTGATTAGCTGAAAAAAATAAAGCAGGTTATATTTAAGTCAATAATACCGAGAGCTAAAAACAACTTTTTTTTGATAGGCTGCGCTGGTTGGCTAAAACATTTCATTAATGTAATATAAAAGAGATCGCTCAAACAAACTCTCACAATCTTCAACAGGACCATCACCATAGTAAATTGATCACAACACCACTTTTTATGATAGTTGACGATATTGCTGGTTGATGTTGCAATGAATGATAAATTACTTGTTAAATTAGTAAAAGAAGCCGGAGCTAAGGTACATTTTAATTCATTTTTGAAAATTTATAACATAATGCCTGCCTGCAAGAAAAAACATTTTCACAATTTATTTTTTTGAGGTTAAGAGAATTCGAGTCTAATAGACGAAAGAATTAGCGTTTTGCAGAATCTAATGCCTACTTGATTATACTGTAATTGTGGGTAAACTTCATTTTGCAATGCAAAAGGAACTTTAAACAAGAAAGGAAATATTTCTTCACATTTCAAACTTTAATTATCAATAAGCAGATTGGCCCCGCTATATTTTTGAGTAATAAAAAAACTTTATTGTTAAGATTTAATATATATTTTAAACTATCAATAAATCAATTTATTACTTTCTATAAATTAAACCATGTTTACATAAAAATTAATTGCGGTTTTTTTATAGCTTGTACCATTTGCTTAATTTTATATATAAGATCATTATTTTCTATTGATTGACCCAACCAAAAATTCAATTTTTTGATTGTTCAATCGCTAGATGAGGTTTAAACTCTCCGACGTGTGCTTAATTTTATACTTTTTATACTTCAAGATGATAATGAATTTCTGAAAATATATCCTATCATAATCCTATCTTAATCAGGTTAGATCGAGAATAAAAAATCGATTGTTCTTTAGTCTCGAAATGAAGAAACCAGGCGATCGCTTTAAAAATTTCGATGGTTTTCGAAGTTTTCTCTTTGGGTCGGATGATTTCTGCAAATATAAGGTGTTTTATTTTAAATTATTTTTATTTTATAATATTTATTCTTGGATCAAAATATTTTTTTTATAGGTAATTTTTTTTCTTTTAATATTATTATTTTCAGTTCGATAACTTTAAATCGTAGTGATCTACTTCTATGAGTAATTCCACCATTATAGTTTAAATTAATGATAATGCAGAACTTTATATAACAATACCTATATTCAAAACATAATACTCCGATATGTTCTAATTCGAATGTAATATGATAACATAGAAAATCAGCCTAAAACGGGATAGCAAATTTAATTCTAACTAATGAGTTATAATCATAGAAACTTTGTTTACAAAGATATAAAAGTAATGATCTCTTGAATAATTTATATACAATTCGTCTTTTTTAGCGGATGAAAATTATTATATCAGAAAAACGAAAATTTAAATATAGTAATATTAGAGCAAATAAAATTATATTATAACAAATTTTAGTAATAATACTAGTTTTCCTTTATTTTTTGAGTCGCTGATATTTCAAATCCAATCGCAACAAACGCTCAAGTAAATAATATAAAAATAAACTACAAAATATACAATAAGCTAAAAAATCTTTGCTTTCTAAGCTTCTTGTGATTATCACACAAACTAATATTAAAGAGTCCGGTAACGAAGGCGGTGTGATGGTAAATATATTTCGCTTAATAAGATTTTCATCATCATTCTATTACATACTAGGAAACGGTACCACCGTTGTGAAGTCCGGAGCTTAAGGTCACGTGAATTAATTATGTCAATATCATTGAATATGTCATGCAGATCAAAATCAATTTATTATACGTCACGCAAATTAAATTGTGAAACATCATGCAAATACTTCGCAATATATTATATAAGAATCTTTTTTTTATTTCAAATTATAAGAGATCAATAAACAATACTATTAGAATATGGTA